CTATGAACACATCAACTTGCTTTTGTTGATTAGAATTCTGCAGGCCTGGTCATCAGGCCAACAGATCATGTTATTGAATAAAAAAAATTAAAAAAAAGCAATCAAAGTCACATTCATTGTTCTATTGTTTTACATTTTAATCATTTGAAAGACTTAATTAAAGGATTGAAATGTAACTAGCAAACAGGCAAATTAATTTTCACCTTAACCTTTGAAAGTCAAGCAGGCCAGATACAGGCTTTATCCTGTCTGATCAATTACAAACTCTCAGCTCGCATGGAATGGATTCCCATGCAGATTGAGCTGGATCAATCTGCATTCCTCATCAATCGATGCAACAGCTTTTCCAGACCTTTGAGAGACAATGTATGATTAGGAGATAAGAAGATAATGACTGGAGGAATAACACACAGTCAAAACCGACAATTTTGAATCAGAATGGGGCAAATATAACCAGTTCTGAGTCAAGAAAAGGAAATACACCACATGGAGAAAAGGTACTTCTGGTATTCAGCGTTTAAAATTCCAATCACTGGAGCTTTAAGGGCAATAGAGGAAGTCTTTTCCTCCTTCATCCGTTTCTCTACTCCCCCAACCTTTGATTCCCTTTTGATGTGAGAAAGGTGACTGCTTAGGTTTGGTCTCACAACAACTGAGCGTCACTTGTATTCTGGTGTAACAATTAAGCAGTGTTGTGTGAAATAAATTGAGTCAAACCCAGTCGTGAAAATCATAAAAAAATATTGCTGTGTGCAAGTTCAATTCAATTTAATTTATACAGCGCCAAATCACAACAACACTTTATATTGTAAGGTAGACCCTACAATAATACATACAGAGAAAAAACCCAACAATCGCATGACCCCCTATGAGCAAGCACTTTGGCGACAGTTGGAAGGAAAAACTCCCTTTTAACAGGAAGAAACCTCCAGCAGAACCAGGCTCAGGGAGGGGCGGGGCCATCTGCTGCGACCGGTTGGGGAGAGAGAAGGAAGTGGTCAATTTTTGGTTTGGTCAAATCAGTTGTAATAAATGATGCTTTTTCCAGGATTTCTAAATTTGACGCCTTTCCACAAGGACATGCTGAAATTAGGATTACAACCAACATTTTTATGTTTTGTTTTTTAATACCCTCACAAAGCAGTTGCTATGGTTCTGTATACATTTTTAGCTATGGAAACAAAATTTAACTGAGAAGTGGGAACTGCAGGATATTCAATCAGTGTTAGATAATCACAATAATAAAGTTCCATTTTGGTCCAGTACAAGTCTTGAGAAATATAAATGGGTAATTCAAGGCCATT